GGGAGCAAGACCGTGGAGGGTAACGGTTCAAAACGGTCGTTCATTGCCAAGCACATTTCTAGCAAAGATTGGCGCTTGGCAGTAAAGTGTATGTGAAATAATGTGCCTCATCCAGATAAACTTCTAGGCGACCCACACTCTGGCAGTAAATTGTAATTTACAAAAATTTGCCAAATGTTTGCATAAGATTTTTATAAACCATTTAACTTTTTTGGTACAAAACATTGGGTGGGGGAGCGAAATAATTGTTAAACCTAAACAGGATCTGCTACTAGTAGGGAACTACCTGTGGGTCATGACAATACAGGTGTCCCTCGTCTGTTCAAGTTAAGCTTGAGGCGTTATGAAGTTGTGACTTACTTGAAAAAATGTTACCTAAGAAATGCTGACATTGAATAATCTAACGTAACTGGATCAGGATTTTTAATGGACGGAAATATAACTCGTTTCTCCTTTGCCTGACTCAGACCACTGCATAAATTTTGCAAACCCAAAGATCTTTTCCCACGCTGGCAAGACTTTCCTTTGCTCTCTTGCCACACGCTAGAAAGTTGTCTTGAGGAAGAACCTCTGTAACATAGGTTCGATTTTCGAAGCAACCGACTGGTCAGTTTTCGAAGACGCTAATATTCATCAGTGGCTGCATGTGATTAGTTCCCATATCATCTTTGTATGCAACAACTGTAGTCTAGTGGAAACGTATTTATCAGCCAACGGCGCATCACTTGGGAATTTCTCATTCGCCTTCACCGAGGGAAAGGGAAGCTGTACAAAGAATACTACTTTGCCGCACATCATCCGTTGAAACGCTAATTCAAACTCAAATCAGCCGTCTCAGCAAAGCTTATGGTTTGTGCCGCTTCTCACTCAATCCAATGGCAAGCAACTTTGGTATAGAAGTAAACAAACTAGGGCAACTACAAATCGTTGACTATTCTTTTCCCGATCAATTTGGAGGCACTCTACCAACTCTTTCTGAGGTACGAGCAACCAGGCATCTGAGGCTCATCGAAGATCACGGGTCCAGACGTCTTATGCGCCGTGTTGTCTGACCAACTTAAGAGTACCGTAGTCTACTATTGCTGCCGCCAGCTTCCTGCCGATATCTCTTGCGGTCTTGACACGCTTGGAAACACATGTACATCCAATAAAATCTACTTTTTCTGTCTCCGTCCGGGTGGTTGCTGATTCTTGGAAAATTGTTAGAATTGTCCCTCTGCCAAAGAACATGGTTAGTTCAAGAAACCTCATCCTATCGTCATCTCTTCCATTCTTCTATGGTCTCTAGAACTCCTTATTGTCCTTGTCTGGGGAATAATACTTCCACTTCTAGATCCTCACAATTTACATACAAGGAAGATTTGTACACACTAGACGCCACGACCAAAACCATGTTATGTTAACCATATCACGCAGCATTCGGATGATGGTAAATAAGGCCATTGCCTTTTTCTAAACTCTAGTTATGCATTTGACATGTCACAAGCGAAACTTTTCAATATATTGGCTAGGTGACTACCTTACCAACAGAAAACAGTTTGTGGCCATTGGATCTCGTAGGTTCAGTCCTCAAAACACAGTCCTTCTGGAGTGCTGCAAGGTGCTGTGTTATCTCCCCATTCTTATTCTTCTACACTGACTATCTAAGTCTCATCGCCCTTAATGTTTTGTTAGTTATGCAGATTTTTGTAACACAACAATCGCTACGGCTATTATTAATAAATCTTCCCTTCTCACTCACCAAAATAGCCTGTCTAGCTTCGTTAGAAGTTTGTCTGATATCTCACTGCGACACAATCCTGAAAGATGTCAATTGAAGAGCCATATAAAGAGGAATACGTTTTTTCATCTTTTATATCTACGCGATGTTCCTTCCAAAATTGAGATGCTGAAATTGAGTATGTAAAGCTTAGAAATATTTTGAGGTCATCCTGGACTAAAATTTGCCTCGGTCCAAACATGTTAAGCTGAATAGTGATAGATCGCGGAGGAGCTTGTACTGTACTATTCGTCTGAGGCAAGCAAGGGCAATAAAATTGACTTTGCACCTTTTCATCAAATCGAGCATCGTCGAATCTTTTTTATGCATGCCTCGCCAATCTTCTTTCATGGACTTCTCAAAGCTGTTCCTCGTCCTCCGAGCCGGGCACTCAAATTAATAGCACGTACGGGCTGCTTCGATCTCGAAGTTCACTTCAAAGAGTTTGTTGTGCATCTTGAAAGATTGCCCATGTTTGGGCCACGGCCTTCTCTCTAACAGCAGCCATTCTCTTTATCCGCATCTGTTGTCTTGCATATCCCTACATCCTGGTGCAAAAGCAAGAATTGTTGACATCTATTGTCGGACGGAACTGAGACGGAATTCAGTTGTTCCCACATTTGTTCACGTCCTGAAGGACCCATCGTCGCAGGTTGATGAATGATGCAAACAGCTGCTTAATTTAACTACTATTTAACATGTAC